GTATTCTTGGAACCAGGACGATAAGTTAGAGAGAAGTTGAAACGACCAAAGAAGAGGGCCCACCTGGCCTGTCGGGAGTTTAGCCGTTTAGCAGACTGAATGTACTCCAGGTTCTTGTGGTCAGTCCAAACCAGGAATGGCTGCTCGCTGCCCTCGAGCCAGTGTCGCCACTCCTCCAACGCCATCTTCACTGCCAGCAGCTCTCTGTTGCCCACATCATAATTTCTCTCAGCTGGGGAAAGACGGCGAGAGAAGAAAGCACATGGGTGAAGCTTATTGTCTGGCCCTGCCGTCTGAGACAAAACAGCGCCAACCCCGATGTCAGATGCATCTACCTCCACCACAAACTGCTTGCTTGAGTCCGGCTGGATGAGTATGGGGGCAGATGTGAACAAGGATTTGAGGAGAAGAAATGCCTTGTTAGCATCAGTAGTCCAGGTAAACTTGATCTTGACAGAAGTGAGACTGGAGAGTGGAGCTGCTACCTTGCTATAGTTCCTGATGAACCGGCGATAGAAGTTAGCAAAACCCAGGAACCTCTGCAGCTCCTTCCTAGTAGTGGGGACTGGCCACTCGGAGACAGCTAGGATCTTTCCTGGATCAGCCTCCAACTTGCCCTGCCTGATGATATATCCCAGGAAGCTGACCCGCTCCTGGTGAAACTCGCACTTCTCAGCCTTGACGAACAGCTTGTTCTCAAGCAGCCTTTGCAGCACCTGACTGACGTGGTCCTGATGTTCCTCCAGACTCGTGGAAAAAATCAAGATGTCGTCAATGTAAACGAACACGAATCGGTTAAGGAAGTCTCGTAGGACATCGTTAACCAGGGCCTGGAAAACAGCGGGGGCATTAGAGAGTCCAAAGGGCATGACAAGATATTCGAAGTGACCAAGGGGGGTGTTGAAAGCTGTCTTCCACTCATCTCCTTGGCGAATTCGAACAAGGTGGTAGGCATTCCTGAGGTCGAGCTTGGAGAAGATGGTGGCACCTTGGAGAGGTTCAAAGGCTGAGTTTATCAGGGGAAGTGGGTACTTGTTTTTAACTGTAATGTTATTTAGCCCACGAAAGTCAATACAGGGTCGGAGAGACTTATCCTTTTTGTCCACGAAGAAAAACCCAGCACCCAGAGGAGAGGAAGAAGGACGAATTATCCCAGAAGCAAGAGAGTCACCGATGTATCTCTCCATGGACTCTCTTTCAGGCCGAGACAGATTATAAAGCCTGCTGGTGGGTAAAGGAGCTCCAGGCAGCAGATTGATGGGACAATCATAGGGACGATGAGGAGGGAGAGAGAGAGCTTTCTCCTTGTTGAAGACCCCACTCAGGCTGTGATAAACTTCAGGAACACCAGACAAGTCAACTTCAGCAGAGACACAAGGAGCAGACTTAGGTTCGACAGGGACGGGAGGCACAGCAGACTGTAAACAGTGAAGGTGGCACGACTGGCTCCATTCCATGATTCTTCCTCCGGCCCAATCAATATGTGGATTGTGGGTGCGAAGCCATGGGTATCCAAGAACCAAAGGGGTTGCTGGTGAGGAAATAACCTTCAGTTGAATCTCCTCTCTGTGATTACCAGAAATAAACAAGGTTAAAGGTTGTGTCTGCTGTGTAACCTTAGAAATGCTTTTCCCATTTAAAGCATATGCTGTCAGAGGTTCTGTTAGAGCTTCCAAATGTAACCCCAGCTGTTTGGCTAGTTCACCGTCCACAAAGCTATCCTCAGCTCCAGAGTCAACGAGAGCAGAAAGGGGCAATGTCTGAGCGTTGAAACAAAGTCTAGCAGGAATCAAAAAACGGCTCAAAATTGGGGCTACAATAGGTGTAGGAAGCGAACTCGTCAGGACCCCCAACTTCACTGACGAGCCCTTGCGTTTGGGCGAACAGGACAGCCAGAGAGGATATGGCCACCCTTTCCACAGTACAGGCATTCTCCACACCTAATACGTCGAAGGCGCTCCTCAGGGGATAATCCAGTGCGTCCCAACTGCATAGGTTCCACCATAGCAGAAGTGGGCACGCGGGTTGGTGAGGTGAAGCCAGATGGTCCGGACACAGAGGGAGCAAACCTGGGAGAACTGTTTGGCTGATAAGGCAAAGCAAAAGGAGGACGCTGCGTGCGCTCCGCCCGGCGCTCCCGCAGCCGGCTGTCGAGACGAGAAACCCAGGAGATTAAGGATTGGAGGTCAGCAGGCTCCTCTCTTGCAGCCAGCTCATCCTTCAGTTGATCCCTCAATCCCCTAACAAACACAGCCCTTAAAGCCGCCTCGTCCCATCGGGCTTCTGCCGCCAGTGTGCGAAACTCGATAGAATAATCTGCAATGGTTCGAGTTCCTTGTTGCAGATTCAACAGACGATTAGCAGCTGAGCCAGAGTGTTCAGGATGATCAAAAACAGAGGAAAAATGATCCGAAAAAACTCCAAAGGAAAGTGTATTGTAATCCACAGAAGAACTCAATGCTTCGGCCCAGGTTAAAGCTCTTCCACGAAGCAAACTCAACATATAGTTAATCTTAGTTCCATCAGAGGAAAAAGACACGGGGCGCTGGCGAAATACCTTATTGCATTGAAAGAGAAATCCTCTGCATTTCTCCACCTCTCCGTGGAAAGGCTCAGGATCGGCAATGGGGAAGTCCCGGCATGGAGTGGAATCCACAGGTGGATAGGAGGAGGCAGGAAGTGTACCAGAAGACGTCAAAGCAGAGACCTGAGCAGCAAGGTTTGAGACGTTTAGAGCCATGGATTGATTGCTCTCCACTAAGGCTCGAATCATCTGCTCATGATGGCCCAGAAGATTTCCCTGATGGGAAATGGCGTGCTGGACTGAGGCGGGATCCGATCCGGCGTCAGCGGAGCTCATAGTGACCAGTTCGTACTGTTAAGCTCACCGGTAGCTACAGGAGTGAACTCACAATGCTGAACACAGGACGATGAAACAGAGCTTTTGAGGTAGAAAAAGGTTTATTAACCAAAAACCTTATATAGAGTCAGACGAGGGATTAAATATCCAATAAACCCAAAGCCAGGGTTTGTTAACTGAGGTGGTGCGGATATGCACGGAGATACTCTGGCGAGGAGAGCCGGGGGACCAGAGCTGGTGAGAGTCGACAGGAAGGAGCTGGTGTGCGTGGAAGCACGAAGGTACACTGGCGAGGAAAGCCGCTGATCCAGAGCTGGCGATAGTTGACAGGTTGGAGCCGGTGTGCGTGGAAGCACGGAGATACTCAGACGAGAGGTACGTGGCTGGATGTGGCAGGCAGAGGAGTAGGCAGATGGATTCTGACGGAGAACACAAGGTTAGATTCGGCAGGAACACAGAGAGTTAGTTTTACCATAAACTACATGTACCAAGTCGAATTACCAGCGAGGTGAAACGACGAACTGGTGAATACTGGATGAGAGGACCGGGCATATAAGCAGGTGAAGGTGAGTAGTGTAATCAGGATGATGAGCAGCAGCTGCGAAGGTGAGTTGGCGGGAATCAGAAGTGGGTCAGCCACACCCAGCCAGGGAGACAGACACACAGACAGACAGAACGAACATAACAAACATAAAACAAAGAAGAGAAGAAGGAGGGAGATACTGTAAATCCTCACAGAATCGATGTCATGGATGTGGAGAAGAGATACATAATAAGGTTTTGTGAGTGATTTTCGGTGCAGTAATCTGTTAGCATTTCGTTGCTAATTCAGAGGCATTGTGGGTTTTCTTTTGAAAAATAAATAAAAATGATCAGTTAGATGAGTTTCTTCCCGTTACATGGATATAAAACATTCATAGTTTATTAAATGAACATGCCCTCAGACACTGTTTCCTGCAAGATGTTGCGGCAGTGCCCCGGTACCGGGGTCTCTCGGGCTTAACAGGTTAAATGACATCCATTTAAACACAGACAGTGGCAGAATATCAGTGTTAGTATTATTAGATCTCAGCGCTGCGTTTGACTGTTGACCACAACATATTGCTAGACCGTCTAGAAAACTGGGTGGGAGTTTCAGCAACAGCTCTAAATTGGTTTAGTACCTACTTATGTGCTGAAAAGTGCTGTATAAATAAACTTGCCTTGCCTAATAAGACTGATAGATGATAAAAGCCTATCACTGATAAGACACGATGCCGCTGATGATGGCAGGAAGGCTCTAAGAATATTGAAAGAACATTATTCTGGAAAAAGTAAACCACGGATAATAAACCTCTACACGTCGTTGACAAAGCTACACATGAAAGACAGCGAAAGTGTTACCGACTACTTTATACGGGCGGAGAACCTTATCAGGGCTTTGAGGGAAACAGGTGAGACCATGAGCGACGGACTCATAATCACCATGATAATAGGAGGACTACCAGACACCTTTAAGCCACTGGCTGTTCATGTAACGCAGAATGAAGATAACGTTACATTCATAGACTTTAAAAGGAGACTGCGTGTATACGAAGAGGCAGAAACATTTAAGATAAAAGAAACCACAGATAACGTGTTTAACGTGAACTAATGTGAAACAAGGCAGAGGCCCCGGCAAGATGTCTGCTAACAATAGAAAATAAGAAGATACTAATGTTATATGTTACAAATGTGGAATAAGAGGGCATAAGGCAAGAACATGTTACAGAAAAGTGTGGTTACTGCAAAAATAACACACACGAAGAATCCCTGTGCAAGAAAAAAGGGGGACAAGATGGTGTCAGAAAAGTGACAGAGGAGGAAAACAGCGAACAAGACCAATTCTTCAAGGCAAAGTACACGAAGAGCGGGAGACCTCCAGACAACGTAGAGATGAGAGGCATCATGGTGGATGCTGGAGCAACATCCCACATCGTGAACAATATCGAAAAGTTCGACAGCTTTGATGACTCATTCCTTTCAGGGACACATTCAGTGGAGTTAGCTGACGGGACCAAATGTAGCGGAATAGCACAACGCAGAGGAACAGCGATCGTGTATCTGCTAGACAACACTGGACGACAGCACAGAGCACAGCTACGGGATGCACTGTACATACCTTCATACCCACATGACATCTTCTCTGTGGCAAGAGCGGCAAATGGAGGAGCGACAATCACCTTCAAGAAAGGAGAAAGCCACATGGTTACCAAGGACAGTAGCAGGTTTGAGATCCACGAGAGTGGACATTTGTATTACTTGCCAACTGTTACAGAAAATGTTGAAAAATGTAAAGGGTGTCATGATATGCAAACTTGGCATGAGATTTTGGGTCATTGCAACTATGAAGATGTACAGAAATTACAAAGTGTAGTGAAAGGCATGGAGATAAAAGGAACAGCGGTTAAGCCTACTCAGTTATGTGAAGTGTGTACACAAGGAAAATTCACAGACTAGAAATAGGGAGCCAGACAGAAAGGCTGAGAAACCCTTAGAGCTAGTACATACTGATTTAACTGGTCCCATGTCAACACTGAGCATAGAAGGCCACGGATATGCACAGTCATTTACAGATGACTATTCAGGCACCGTGATGGTATATTTTCTGAAGTCAAAAAGTGATACAGTGCAAGCCACAGAAAGGTTCTTGGCAGACATAGCACCTTATGGAGAAGTCAAGTGTATTCGTTCAGACAACGGCACTGAGTTTACAAGCCGAGACTTTCAGGCTCTCTTAACTAAACATAGGATTAGACATGAAACGTCTGCACCCTATTCACCACACCAAAATGGTACAGCAGAGAGATGCTGGCGAACTCTCTATGATATGAGCAGATGCTTATTGATAGAGAGTGGGTTACCAGACAAGCTATGGAACTACGCTATGCAGACTGCAGCTTTTGTAAGAAACAGGTGCTACAGCAGGCGCACAAAGAAAACGCCATACGAGTTGTTCACAGGCAAAGAACCAAATGTATCCAAACTGCAAACATTTGGTACAACATGTTTTGCTTACAAACAAGAAAAAGGGAAGCTAGACTCTAGATGTGAGCAAGGGGTTTTCATTGGCTATGATAAAAACAGCCCAGCTTATCTGGTGTATTACCCAGAAACAGAGAGGGTGCAAAAGCACAGGTTGGTGAAATTCACAACCAAAAGCGCAAAAGAAAAGGAAACACAAACATCTGAATCACACATAGAATGTGGTCATGATGATGCACACTCCAGGGCCATAGGCAATGATATAAATGTGGAAAATGTATCAAGTCATGGTATTCAGATTTGTGTGCCTGAGACTTTACTTGAAGAGACTGAATGTACACAGCCGAGTAAAGCCACAGAGACTGTAACCAAAAGGTATCCACAGAGAAACAAAAGGAGACCAACTCATCTACAGGATTTTGAGACTGAGGATGCAGAGGACAAATCACAAACATGCATGGACTTTTGCTACAGAGCAGTCTGTGATATCCCTCAAACCTACAATGATGCCATAGTGTCAGCAAAGTCAAGGCAGTGGAAGAATGCCCTGGACGAGGAGATGCGATCTCTGGAGGAGAACGAGACCTTCCACCTCACCCAGTTGCCACCAGGTAAAAAGGCAGTGGGGGGAAGATGGGTCTATGCACTCAAAAGTGACATTGATGGATCAGATAAATACAAGGCAAGATTTGTAGCAAAAGGCTACAGTCAAAGACCAGGAACAGACTACAAAGAGAAATGTTCCCCCACAGCTGATATGACAAGTGTAAGAGTACTCGTGCAGAAAGCAGCACAAGAGGGACTCATTTTTCACCAGATGGACGTTAAGACAGCCTATTTGCATGCACCCTTTGATTGTGAAATCTATATGGAGCAACCAGAAGGCTATGAAGAGTTAATAACCGGTGAAAACCTAGTTTGTAAGTTGCAAAAGTCTCTCTATGGCCTTAAGCAATCAGGTAGAAACTGGAATGCTATATTACACACATGTCTGAGTGAGAACGGTTTCATACAGAATCCAGCTGATCATTGTGTGTATACAAGAGAGAAACATGATGAAAAGGTAATCATGATTGTATGGGTTGTAGGGGTGTAACGGTTCACGGAATTCACGGTTCGGTATGTACCTCGGTTTGGGGGTCACGGTTCGGTACGGGTTCGGTACAACAAGAAAAAGCAAAAAAAAATCCCAAATGCATAATTCCAGGTTTGTTTTATATTTATTTTGAACAGTAGTGCAAGTTTCAGTTTAAAAATAAGCAACTCTAACATTTTGAAAAATTCACTTTATTACACAATTAAAAACAAACCACAAACAGTACCACACACACTCAGATGGCCGTATTATCTATAATGGCTGTCAAACAAAAAGGTTCAATAAGCTGTAAAACCAAAAAGAATGTCTTGAAAAAATTACAAAATAAATAATAAGATAGTGTTTCAATCACTTTCAATCACAATCAATAAAAGCCGGGGTCCTCTACTATTGCATAGCCTTTGAAAAACATATGCCAAAAGCTTCCGTTATTTATTTTGGTCTCTCGGCTTTCATGTCTATTGGCTTCTTAAAAACAGCGGGGATAAACTGTTGAACTGCTGTTGTCTTTTGCCGGGCTCCGGTGATTGGCAAATCTGGGTGATGCCTTCTGATATGATTTAGCATGTTTGGCTTGTGTTACCATTAGCATACCACACCGCTGTTGAACAACCACACCGTCCTCGTCCGATCCACCACTCGCACACTCCATCGTTATTGTAGTCCACAGGGAACCCGAAATGTTCCCACACAGCTGATTTAAAAGAAGCAGGTGGGTTCTAGCTCCTGTGTGTTATCTGAACTCGCAATACTAACTTTTCTTCTTCTTGTATTTTGTTCGTTTTGTTGTGTTTTCTTCTTCTTCTTCATTTGTTGTTTAAGGGTGGCTGGCAAACAGCTTTTAGGTGCAATACCGCCCCCTGGATTATATATAGTGCAGGATACTACCCTGAATGACAGACTTTTTTCCCACTCGTAAAAAAAAGGCGTATTCGTCGTGTGACTGCATGCACCGAACCGTGACGTCCGAACCGTAACGTCCGAACCGTGACGGTACGGGACGAATACGGATACCGTTACACCCTTAATGGGTTGACGATCTGATCATAGCAGCAAGCAACATAAATGTACTGGAAGGTGTAAAGATGATGCTTTCTGACAGGTTTAAAATGAAGGACCAGGGAAAGTTGAAACATTTCCTGGGAATTGATTTTTACCAAACAGAAGGTGAAGTTAAAATGTCTCAAAAGAGATATATAGGCAAAATCCTAGAGAGGTTCGAAATCCAGGATTGCAAGGCCAGGGGGACCCCATGTGAGCCAAAACTTGAACAAACAGATGATTCTGAAAAATTGACAAACCCAACAAAATACAATTTACTTGTCCACATGCACTAGACCAGATATAGGTTTTGTGGTCAGTAAACTATCTCAGCACTTAGCTGAACCAACAGAGGAACATTGGAACACAGTAAAACATGTGTTCAGATATCTAAAAGGCACAACAGAACAGGAGTTATGCTTTAAGAGAAATGACAGAGAGGCACTAGGTCTAAAAGTGTACTGTGATGCTGACTGGGCATCAGATGCAACAGACAGGCGTAGCACATCAGGATATTGTGTCAGTCTAAGTAAAGGAAGCTCTCTGATCTCATGGAAAACAAAGAAACAACCAACAGTGGCATTATCCACCTGCGGCAGAATACATGTCTTTAGCATCAGCTATACAAGAATGTATCTATTTAGATCAGCTACTCAAAGGTATAGACACATACCAGTATGCACAAACAAAGGTGTACGAGGTCAACCAATGTACTATAGCCCTTGCCAAAAACCCAGTAAACAGGCAAAGGTGCAAAAAAATTGATATTAACTACCATTTCATTAGGGAAACTGTAAATAACGGAAAGTTAACTTTGGAGTACTGCCCTACTGAGTTAATGATTGCTGATGTCATGACGAAGCTAAAGAGGTTTGCTCAATACATGTTTGGCACTTAAAGGTGCACGAGTGTATTCACATTGTTAAGGCAAAAGAGAAGCCTTATTATGTTGTTGTTTTTGTTTTTGTTGTTTGTTTTGTTTTCATGTAACCAATAGAGTTAAGGTTGAGTGGGAGTGTTAAGTATTACTTTTTAATAGCACCCTTACTCCATGTTTAATGGTACGTCCCGTATGTGACGTCATAAGCATCATAAGCGCGGAGCACTCTATGTCTAATGTTTATTACGCAGCACAGCCATGCTTGTTCATGCTCCTGAATAAAAGGAAGAGAGAAGAAAGATGACTGTGCATACTTTATTGCTTAACAGGTGTATGGAACCCATTGGTCGATTTTGGTGATTGAGACCTCTTTTGAACCATTAGAGCCAATATAATCTAGGGTAGGGATGGGCAATTTGGATGGTGGTGGGGGCCACATAATTTATGTACTGGCCACCAGGGGGCCGCAGATTCACTTGAAACACACACACACACAAATTAGTAGTAGTGGCGGCTCAAGTTGCTTACTTTCATTACAGCAACGGTCTGCAAACATACTAAACATTATGGTTTACCCCTGAATTCAGTGAAAATATATTCTTTCACCCACTTTTCTTGGAAAACACGATTTTCCTCAGATACCTTTCTCTTGCTCATGCTGACATCCACAGAGGGCTCTGCTCATATGTTACCCGCTCTATCGAAATCAGTCGGAAGTCGCAACGGCTCATTTCAAAATAAAAGTGGATTTGTGTGTAAAACAATATAGTTTAAATAAAATCTAATGACCAAACCTGAGGTAAACCAAAAAGTCCCCAAGAGGACGCTCATCGAGGAATGCACGGAGGTGATCGCGCGTCTAAAGCGAGGTCAGGCTGCGACTCCTTCAAAGAACAATGAAGACCGGATCGCTGCCATTGAGCAAGAGCTCAAGACGGTGACTGAGCTGTTTGTGGACAGTCAAACCGAGCTGGAGCAGTGCACTGTCGACGTGGAATCTCTGTTCGACACAGCTGGAAAGCTGTTGACTACAGTGAACGCCAGCACCAGCGATGTTTCGGGTCTGCATGAGAAGCTGGAAAGAAAGAAAAAGGCGGAGCCAGGGGCAGACCAGGTGCAACTGCGCAGCAGGGAGACCGAAATACAACAAGGAGGGGAGCACGTA